TTACCAGATGGGAGGCCTAACTAGCAAAAGTTAAAAGCATTTCACATTTATTACAATCAGCTTGACGTGTTTCTAATGTAGGGTAAAGAAAGCATTTCAAAGTGGTACCCTCCCCAGTCCTTCTGCTAATGGCAAGACTGGCAGTGTGGTCCAGTGAATAAGGTATTGGGCTTGGTCTCAGGAGAGTTGGGTTGTAGTCCCAGTTTAGCCACTGACCTTCTGTATAATCCTGTGTCAACTGCTTCACATCTCTGTACCCCTTTCCCCTCCCATGCTAGTGTCTGCAACTTAAATAGATAAGATAGGCAATCTCTTACTATGTGTATGTACAGTACCTAACACAATGGGTCACTTGATTGTGACCTACAAACAACAATTTACTGGCACTCATTTGTTGACTTGGGGAAGCACGGGTGGGAAAGAACATTTTGCCTCATGACAAACATATGGACCAGTTGTCAAACTATTGACATATGCATGAGTTTATCCACTGGATCAGCTTTAGGTGAGGAATCTTGGGTTAGGAGTAGGAATTGTAGTGTCAGTCCTACAGCAGTACTCAAATAAAAGAATATATGGAGATATGCCTATCTCATAGAGCTGGAAAGGACCTGGAAAGGTCATCAAGTCCAGTCCCCTGCCTTCACTAGCAGGACCAAGTACTGTCCCTGACAGTTCCCCCTGCCCCCCTATATTCTTCAATGGCCTCCTCAAGGATTGAACTCACCACGCTGGGTTTAGTAGGCCAACGCTCAAACCACTTAACTATCTCTCCCCCTGTGGACATGGATTTTCCTAACACTGAGTATGATGTTTGATCTCTAGCACAAGCTGAGGAGTGGTGATCAGCAGACTAGACCTTCTTATGCCAGGGTTTGGAGCCTCAGACAATAGGACCAGCATGGTATAGTGTAGGATTACCATGGGAAAAATCAAGCCCCAGAGGTTAAATGGCATGCCCAGGTCTACTAGATTTTGCATGGACCTGGGAATCATAAAGATATGATTTATAATCTGGCTTCTGACACTAACTCTGTGTGATCTTGAGCCTGTCACTTAACTTCTGTCAGCCCCAGTTATCTTTGAAGAAGATATATTTGCCTACTTCACAGAGGTGGTGTTAGGCCTTGTATTTAAGACAACATATTAGCAAATCTGTTAGTGGCAGAGGTGGATAAAGAATCAGGGATGTGCTAAACCAGATAGCCTCTAAGAGGGTTTTTTCTCCAAAAACTGGATAGTTTTGTTCAAAAACTCAAAGAGGCTTTTTGAGTTTTCATATGCTTCACGGTAAAATAAAGTTTTGTCTTGTGAAATTACACGCCCACAGTCAGATCCCAGGGGTGCAAAAAAATCACATTAAATGAATTGGCAAAACAAAACAAAAACCTGTACAAATTTTCAAAAAACACTTGTTCAGCAATTTTGTTCCTGTCTAGATACTTTAAACAGTTATGATTAATTAACCCACTCATGAAAGGCTCTGTTTTGATACACACAATGGCTATCCTATTAAACTATTTAGTCTCCCAAAATTGTAGAAAAATCTGGAATAAGCCCAGCTACTGTTTCATTTCAGTGTTATAACCGATGCCACAATTATAGAGGCTGCATAAAAATACATAGACAAAGCTGAAAAAATGCAGCAGGTTGTAAAATTGCATCCAAGACACATTTGTCTGATGGCCTTTCACTGTGAAGGGACAATTTTTGTTGTTGAAAATGAAGATAGTCTTTGCTTTGTAAGCCTTCATTAAAGCCCTCATCTTCCTTCTTAATGGGTTCAGTGTAAGAACTTAAATATTAGATCATCTTTATGAGTTGCAATCTAGTTTTTGTACAGTGTTATGGAAAACATGAACAATTCCACTTAAGTAACAAATCCTTTAGTTATGAAGCGCTTGGCTGATATTGGAGTTTCTGAAGGAGACCAGTTTGATTAAGCAAAGTGCCTCTGCAAATTTTGGATAAATTTAGGTTTGGACTATTTATTAGTCAATCATGGACCAATACCCCGTTGTGCTTGATGTTATGCACACATGGAACAAAAGATGATTCCCGTTTTTCATCCAGTCTTATGTGAATATGGCAGCAGTAGATAATGAAGAAATAGATTTCCTAACATGAACTAGCTTAAAAAAAATCATGGATCCTCGTAAGAGAATGTCTGGTCTATTCAATGAAGTTAATTGAAGTGAAGCAGTACAAGGAAGTATGCATTGATGGCTATGGATAGTTTCATAGATATCACTTCCCTAATAGCACATACAGGGGCAGAGGCTCAACTGATGTAAACTTTTGATAGACTCATCGATGGTGCTATGATAGTTTACACCAGCTGAGAATCTGCCCCATACACCACTCAGAAATATTAATGATCAGTGAGTTATTAGTTTTCCAATGATATATTACAAGCCACCTTTTGGGTATATATCATGACATCAGCATGTTAGGTGTAGCGAGTATGTCAGGCCTGACAAGTTGCTGACAGAATAGTGAACCACTAATGGGCCTCAGTGTCACATTTTCCTTTTCAGGCCTCAGCCCTCTCAGCATAGAAAACACCCTGAACAAATCTGGTGTCTTTGTGATGTAGACATTTTTCTACTAGGGACTAAAAGGAGACCATTGTGTTTGTTTTCACTTGTGGTTTAACAGGGATAAAATATTAGTGCATCAATCCATGTTATTACATGAACATATGTGCTAGAATTATGTTCTTAAAATGTGTTTGGCAAGAAATGCATAAGCCTAGACTGCCTTAGACAAAGGAATGTGAATTTGCTTGTCTGACCAGCCGGGTCTTCAGGCAGAAATACTGAAGGTACTTTTACATAAAAAGGAAACAAAGCCATCAAGCTAACATGGGGAGGATCCAGCATGAAGACTTCACCAGACTGCATGGCATCTCTTCCCCATAGGAGAAAAGTTACTGTATCTGAGACTACATTTCAAAAGTTTATTGGTCTATAGACAGGGGGGGTCTGAACTTCAAATGATAAGCAATTGAATCAACTGATTGTAAACAATATTGCTGTATTATAAAAGTATATTGAATAAAGTCTTATGAAAGCCTATGACATGCTGGTGATTAATATCATTGTGAAATGTATGCATTAGCACTATATGAAGAATTATGGATATTCACTGATGATATGCTTTAAAGTATGTGACCAAACCCAGGGAGAAAAAAGTTCTCTCTCAGCCAGGAGGGAAGGCAGCTCTATACCAGTCTCTAATGTAAATTAAGCAATCAAGAAAAGGGAAGCCCCTCCTAACATACAAACCAGCAGGGGGATAGGAAGTCCACAGGAAGCATTCCTGACTCTTGAAACAGAGACAATGAACTTTGGAGTGATAGAAGAGGGGCAAAAAGACAGTGATCAATTACTTGTGTGATTCAAGGGGCCAGAGCTCTTGAAATCAAGGAACATTGGGTCCTTCAATTTCAAATGTTCAATAGGGGTTGAAGGCTTGAGGAACTGAATATAGGTGAGAAATCTACTTCTGCAATGATTGTATCTTGCTGAAATTAAGTTTTAGTCTTAGAAGGGTATTTTTACTTCTGTTTGCTTGTAACCCTTTCTATTTGTATTCTGTATACAAATAGAATAGGGTATAATTTGACCCTATGACTTTTTGTTTAATAAGCTGTAAAAGTAAAACAAGTTTATTAAACAAAAAGTCATAGGTAAAAATACCCTTCTAAGACTAAAACTTAATTCAGTCCTGTGACTAAAGTAAGAGTGTTTGTCAAACCTCAGTTAAATTAACAACCTGCAGTTTTAAAAGAGCAACAAATGTAACTTCTGTGAATGTTCCAGGAGAGGGGTGGAGGGAGACAACTAAGGAAATTTGGGGGGCACTGGCCTCACTCTGCAAACAGTAACTGGGCCGTGGAAGCCCGGGTGTAACCTCAATGCTTGTAGACTGACTGTTGGCATTCAGGCTGTGACCCCAGCAGCCTAGCATTTAAGGCATCCACAGTTGAAAGGGAGGTGATCACACAACCCCTAACTGGTCTAGGTTGAACCCCAGGATGATGTCACAGAAGAATTTTTAGGCAAGGAATGCAGTGCTTCAGTGGAGCTGTGTGGGAAAGTTTGCACAGCAACCCTTGGCACTACCTAGTCTCCAACTTTTGGGGGAGGGGAGATTTGCTGCCCACAAATTCACATAATTTTCTGACAACTGTTTCTTCGGCCATTTTAATTTCAATGTCATGCTATTTTAGGTTCCAGTTCTGCAAACATTTATGCATGTGAGTGATCTCATTCAAGTCAAAGAGACTACTCATGAGTTAATCACATACGAAAGAATCAGGGCCTAAATTCCTAAGGGATTATTCAACATGTCAAAACTGTCCACGTGGTTAAATGGAAAAACAATATGCTCACTTTAGCTACCTATATTATTACTTATCACATTTGACAGACTGGCTAATCTGGGCCCAGTGCCATAAGCAGAAGTGAGTCCCTTCAATGACGATAATGAGATTGGAGAGTGCTCAGCACATCACAGAATTGGGCCCCTCTGCCATTTACAGTGATTAGCTCTATGCCTGACTCTGCACCCACTGCGGTTCACTGGGATTATGCCATTGATTCACGTATGAGCAGAATAACAACTTTATTGAAAAGAAGGCAAGAGTTTGATTTTTGTAAATGATCACACAAATAGAACGTAAAATGGTGCGGCTTTCGGGAGGATTATCCATGCATAATTTTCTTGCACACATAATTTGTCAGCAAGCAATCTTGTCTGGGGAGATGTAGTATTTGATCAATCTGTAGCTATTTCTTCTAAACCATATTTAAACAAAAAGCCCTCCCGCTACTAATGAAGTAAGAAGTTTATCCATCTTCTTTTCAGGATTAACAGTGCAAGATAAAACAGTGCTGTGTCAAGAGTGTTTAAAGGAAAAAAAAATGTAGAAAAAACTTCATAGCAATAACTGCCCATCAAAATATAAAGACTGAATAATATTTTACACACAGTAATAGTGTTAGAAATAGACTGATTAATTTTACTTTATATATAGGTCATTAGCACTCATTTTAAAAGATAGAAAATACAGATTAGTCAATCTTTAGTTTACAGCGCATACGTTTCAAACATGCCTGCAACATATGCAAATTACAATATAAAAAGACAGATCAAATTCAAATATGAATTTTTATTTTTAAATCTAAAGACTATCCCTATGTGGAAACCCTAGAAAACCTACCTGAAATTCCATAAAACCCTAGGGTATGAACATTACCAAAAAACCACAGAGTCGAGTGAGTTGACTAAAAAGGGGTGGCAGGAAGAGTCAAAGTACATTTGGATAGAAAGACGCAGGGAGAGATCAGTTTGGACTGTAAATAATCTGCAGAAAAGATTCAAATTGCCATAGAAAAAAATTCAAAGGAGGAAAGACAACACAAATTTTATCAGATCAAGAGACAACCCCTATTCCCCCCAAAAACTACATTCTAGTTTTGTTGCTCTGGTACATCGATCCTGAGTACTCTAACTTTTGATTTATAGTGATATTCCTTCAGATATAACTTGACAGATGGAGGAATAGGAAGAGCGTCAATGCCATCATACGTTGTAGAGTTGCAAATAACTGTTCTGCATATATGCTGAAGGGAAAAGGGAAAAGTCCTGTTTAAGGGAGTGGATAAAAGTGGTTCAAAGAACATACAAGAGCTCGGGTCTTTATAATGCTCTAAGAGACCAGTAATGTCAGGAGAATGGAAGACACAAGGATCATGAGCATCAAAGCTGAAGTTATGATTCCACTGTTCAATTCTTGCATGAAGAGAACGACTATAGCGTCTAAAACTAACAGAAAACAAATAGTCTTCTTGGGCAGAATCTCGTAGTAAAAAAGTTCCTTCTGGCTTTCCTTCTAGTAGTGCCTCAGCTGCATATTTGTCCATTACGCCCCAGTAGCATGGATTGTTATTGATCTGGAGAAGGTCTGGGACAAGACAGTGGACATAATCAATCTGGGTATGATATTTGGGAGGAGTTTCCAACTGTAGCAGTTCATCATCCGTTTCCCATTTGGGTTTGTTCCTCTTTCTAGAACTTGTGCAAAGTGTTATAACTTCATCATCAGAGTCCATATCACTCTCCTCTTTATTGTTCTTTAACACCTTACTCATAACCGATTCAGTCCTAGGATCACATTTACAGGAGTTGCTATCTGTAATGTCACACAGCTGCGAGAAAGAGTTTCCTCCCCCATCTGTGCTCGCTCCATCTCTCAGATGATCATCTGTCGCTTCATTTTGGGATAAATCAGGGATTATCCAATCTTCTGATTTTTGACTTATGGGGGCAGTGTGTCTTTTAATTAAATGCCATCGAAAAGCTAGCTCGGATCGCGGTGGGAAAGGACACTTATCTAGCATTAATTCACTGAGATGAATTTTTCTCTTCGACGGAAGCACAGAAGAGTGCCGACTGCTACAATTCTTTATAGGAAAACACTGTCCCACAGCATCTTGCAATTTCTGTTTAAGAGACCGGCCTAAAAATCGGTGGCCACATGAACGATCTAAATCCAGTTCAATAGATGAACAGCTGTGCTTCCTCTCTTGACTCCTTAAACCAGCCGCTGGTTTTTCTACACTACTTGCTGCTTCACCATCAGAACAATTCTCATTCTTTTTTAGACCATGAGAGCTTCTTTCCACTCCACACATAACCATCCTTTCTGTCTGCGCTCCTACTACGGGTGGTTTTGGGTCTTACATCGACATTTTTACTATTACTTTCTTTATTTTCCGCCATTTTGACAGCTTAACTCCAAAAGTCCCAGAGCTATATGTTGTGTTTTTCTGTAACAGTTTCTACAGCTTGAAGCTTCTTTCAGGCATTTTCTGGAAGTATCTAAGGAAACAGAAAACACAACTAGGTTAACAGCTTTACAAGTTCACAACACAAGACCAACTCAACTGTATAAATTACAGCAATGACAATTAACTGCTGGCATATATATATATATATATATAAATAATATACATCAAGCTCAATTCATTAGGAAGATTCTTCACAAACACTGCCTTGGTCGCAGACCTAGATGCTCTTAATCCTTCTCCATTATTAATATTTTCCAGTAGTTACCATCTCCTTGAGTATGAATAAGGCATACATACACCATGCTTTATAGCAGAACTGACAACAATTTTGCGCCAGGTAGGTTTTAAAATGGCACACTACATGCATTAGGTTATATTGCTTTGGTTGTTCACTGAGCAAATGCTGCATCTATTCCAATCAGCCTTTCAGGAAAGAACAAGCCAGAACAGAAACAAAGTAGGTCAAAGAGTACAAAGAGCTACTGTACCTAGATGATATTCTTGTTTATTACTAATCCACAAAGCATGATGCCTAGGATCCTATTCTTGACACTTTTGCGTCACTTTCAGGATACAAAATAAATTAAAAATAAGTAAGTCACAGATTCTGCCAATCTCTGAATGCTGTTTTCATTTATTTTTCAAAATGGAGTTAAAAAAAACATTAGGTCCCCAGGGGGCTGAAATATCTGGGGCTTTACGTACAGAAAAGGATTAAAACAAAGCCAGATCTCTTACTAAAAGCAATTGAAAAAAGGCCACGAAAGATGGAGCTGCTTATTACTTATTACATTAAATGAGCGTTTTCCTGAGGCTTATACATGCTTAGTTCACTCCCTATGTTTGCTTCCTAAGATTTACTGCATTCTTAAGAATTAAAATGTGTGTGTGTGTGTGCGTATGTGTATATATATATATATATAATATAAATATATATATATATATATATATATAATATATATATATATATATATATATATATATATATATATATATATATATATATATATATATAATAATAATAACTAATAACTAATAATAA